ATTTCGTAGAACAAACAAATGCTTGTCCAGATCGATATGGAAGGTAATGTAGAACGCCAGACAGAAAGAACAGATTTTTAGTAAACCGTGAGTGGTCTCTGTCAGTAGTACAGGTACACGGGACGGTTGTTAGGTCAACATGCGCCTGGCGAGCATGTCATACCTTACCTATTACTCCCAAGGACTTCTAAAGTGTTTCCATACTCCACAGGTTTAGTTCCTTGCGTAGTTTGTAACCTCATGTAGCGGCGTTTGTTCCTACAGTTTTAACCCAGGTTTAACCGTCGATATCACAGCCAAAGCCAGGACCACATAAATCGTACGGCGCACATACAGTGAAATATTTTCCGCGACATCAAATCTTAAGTTTGAGAAGAAACGGGTACAATACTCAGTAGTTCAAACATTGGACTATTTCACCCATTTCTTCTCTAACATACGATACACGACACGATCGTCATGGAAAATCATGGTATGCATGTGCGTTGGACCAAGGAAATAAATGTATGTGCCCAGACTTTGCGTTAAAATGCACCGCGGCTGAGCGGCGATCTGGATTAGCGCAAGTAGAATCCAACAAGATCCACCAGATTCGCCGTGAACCCGGCAAGATCTGATCCAGAGGATTGTGATCACACACGTCCACGTTAGCAGCCAGACGATCTAATTTCTGGCTACAGTTTGTTTCCGTCTTGAGATTTCTGAAACCGGGAAGGACCCGGCCGGCTGTCTTGGCGCGAAAAGTCATGGCGGGAAAGCCGCCGTCCGGAGACAGACGACATTTTGCGTCGGTCCTAAAATCCCGTTTCCTCGCTTTGTGCCGAAAATCTGCCGTCGTATGAAAGGTAAAAAATTATAGTTTGTGTACTCTGATTGAGTTACAAGAGCAAGTTAAGTTTGTTCATAACTTAATAACATTATATCCGATTTCCAACGCCTTATCTTCCCGCCAAATTTCATTACCCTGGCAACACAAACGAAATTCCCTTCATAACCGTCTGAAATTCTCGGAAAACTTCATTTCCGAGCGGGGCTAGCGAAGCGCTAGTCGGGGCGAGCGGTAGTCGGGCTTACCTGGCGTGTACGGGGTAGGCTGGTGGTGCGGATCCCGCATGGACGGCAGACTGCAGTTAGCGGCGGCGGGGCCGGGCGGACAGGTAGTCGGGAAGCTGTGGTTCCGTATGGGGGAGTACTGGTATCCCTGGCTGCCCTGGAGCTGCGTGCACGAGGAGAAGTCTGGATAGGAGCTGGTGATGGAAGGGTCTATGTTACTCATACAGGAATCATACAGAGACGTGTTCAGGTACGGGTACTCCATGGCGGGAGAGTTTTCCTTGTGTGTGTGACGCGGAGGAAAGTTGGGAGAGTTAGTGCCTGCTGCTACCCGTGCTGGCTGATATAGGGGTGTGTTCCCGCTCCAGCCGCCCTGTTGCTGACGGTGGATCGATGCGACATGAAATATGTATAATTTGTTTACTGGGAGATGATCAGTCCGTCCGCCATCTGCCCCGGGCCAGACCACTGCACGGCGGGGGACGCAGCATGCCGGAACAACAACTTTTTTTTCAGAACAGTTGTAGCAGGTACAATGTAAGACTAACTTGTACATATATGCAGGTTGAAGTATGGTAATATCTGGCAAACAGTTAACAATTCTAAGAGACTAATCTACTTTTATCAATAACAATGACTGTTATTATGACACTTTTCTGATATTTCATAAACAACCTGTTCATACATAACTATATGCTGCGTCAGGAAGGTATGGCATTGTCTCGGTGTCACCCCATTTCTTTTTTCTTTTGTCAGCATGCAAAAGGAGCTGATAGAGTCTAGTTTTGTTTCACTGCTGACGAGGTGTTTTCTGAGTCAAGTCTGTTACTAACAAACTGCCAGCCGTAGTTACACAGAATCTGTTTTGTATGCGTGTAAACTCGCATCTGGCTCTATTGAATCCTCGAAATTGCGTGTGAATACAGACTTTCCCTGTTTTACTGTTGATCTTCCAGTTCAGCATGATAGTTTTCAGATCCGAAAACTACCAGATAGCCCCTGAATGGTAGCCTCTACCAAGCTTCGGGAGGCGGCTGTTCTCTCCAAGCAGACAAACTCCCCCGGCATGTTATCTCTCTATTTGGCCCATGCCATTTCTACTCTTTCCAGCCGCCTCCCGAAGCCTGGTAGAGGCTGCTGAATGGCCCAGTGGCCAGTCGTGTGCCATGTAGCCGCCACGTGCCGCCCAGCGTCCCGGTATAGCCTGGCGTGCCCAAAGTGTATAATGTCCCTTCGCCACGTGCCGCCGATTACCGCAGAACGATGGGGCGGATCTCTGCGAGCTGGTGACAATCACATCATGTAATCCCCCCACCCCCTCGGGACGTCCCACCCCCCTCGGGACGCCCCCACCCCCCTCGGGACGCCACCTTGCCCCCGGGGCGGCCCGACAGACGGCCGGCCGTGTTTTAGCGTGATGAGGCGGTTTGTGATCGGCCCCATGAGGGGAGACCGGTTAGCCGCAAACACAACTTTGTGAAAATGCTTGTTTATCTACAGTTATTCATTCTTTATTGACTCAACAAAAAGTACAGGGACTTTTCTATAGTTTTCAACAACTAAAGATCTAACAAAGCTATATACATGTATGAATAACGTCATTCTGCAAAAAAAATATATGCCAAAATTTTTCTACTTTCCACGTAGAGGTTTAGGCTTCGGCTTACTATTTTGACGTCTCTTTTTATCAGATTTTCTTTTTTGTACCGATATCGCTAGATGGTAGATTGGAACTCGCTACCACCAAGTAAGGTAGAGGCATCCTCAGCATTAGATAGTTTTGAATAACGCGTACAGTTACATGTAGACATGCGAAGGTTGGGTGTGACAGGTCGTTTTAACAAGTATAGACACGCATACATACACACACGGCACAGACACAAAGAGAAAGACATACTCACACATACCAGGACAAGACACACAGACAGATACACACACACACACACACACACACACACACACACACACACACACAGAGAGAGAGAGACACACACACACACACACACACACACACACACGGACAGACACACACACACACATACAGGCACACAAACGGACAGACATGCCCAGATCAACACTCCACCGAGCTTCAGTAAGAAGCTCCAGGGTTCAGCCGCCCGGCCATGGTCGATGAAACTTGGGTCCACTTAAGACAATTTTCCCCAAATGCAATAATCCATCTCTCTGCGCGGGTAAGATATATTACACTCTCTCCTCCGGCTGCAGGAGGAACGGCAGGAAATCCCGGAGTCGATTATAATCAGATTTACCGTGAGATATCACCCGGCACCGGGCGGCCAAGTTCTGACGGATTACTGGGGGGGGGTGAAGTTCTCGGGCGAGAAGGCTTGAGGTTTATTGAGGTTTATTGAGGAAATGCTCTCCTTTAGCTGCCCACCCGAGGGTGACAGCTATTCTTCCAGGAGAGGGAACATACATGTAAGACATAACAATACATCACATACAATTACATATACATTTACATTACATAGAAGTTCTCGGGCGAGAAGGCTTGAGGTTTATTGAGGTTTATTGAGGAAAAGCTCTCCTTTAGCTGCCCACCCGAGGGTGACAGCTATTCTTCCAGGAGAGGGAACATACATGTAAGACATAACAATACATCACATACAATTACATATACATTTACATTACATAGTATTTCTTAAAAAACAAGTGTATAACATCGTATGTGCTCTACTTATTCATGTCCCTCATGTGTTTTAGTAGGCCTTGTTTGAACTTCTCATGTGATGACACTGTTTGCAGCCCATGTGGTAGAGAGTTCCATGCTGCAGTAGTTCTGTATGTGGGTAGTGCGAACTCATGATGATGTATTGTATATTACCGTTCTGTATCCAGAATCATGCTCACGCGTATCCAGAACTGTGCTTGGATCAAATCTACATTGATTCTGTTTCCAGTGTAGCTATAGGCACGGTTCTGGATACAATGATTTACCCTGAAATATCACCCTGCTCCGGGCGGCCAAGTTCTGAGGGATTACGGAGGGGGGGGGTATTGGGGAAGTTCTTGGGCGAGAAGAAGTCTAGAGTAGTGCGAACTCTTGATTATGTGTATCCAGAGCCGTGCCTTGAGCAAATCTACGTTCTTGGATACGCAGAGACTATCCAGAACTGTGCTTGATCCTAACCCTAACACATTCAGGCGTAAGCGCGTTTATGGATACCAGTATTCAAAACAAAATACCAACACGTTCACAACAAAATACTCTTAAATTAGATTTGTCTGTTGTTCTTTTCGTTTGAATTATCAACGAATACTTATCAACTAACGCTTTGTTCATCCCGCGCTACTGATATAGTGTAGGAGTATGTAAGGTTGAAGAAACTAGTGGTGTGGTTTATGGTTGGCATGTTCTGGAACGTTGTTTATTTGAAGCAGTTGCAGTATTTCGCTTTCCGTCATACATTACACACCTTTCTGTCACAGATCTATGGCAGTGTCAGTCTATACCCTAGACTAACGGATGCGTTCTCAATGTAGAGGGCATCAATGTCTGTACATTGCAAACAAGAGCCGCTTTTTGATTATATAATTTATGTGTATTTATTGACAATGATACACGCCGTTACAAACTCAGCACAGACAGACTCAGCTGGTGAAGGCTGACTCACAAAAGTACAGGCGTCATAAAAAACGAATAAGTGAATTAGAATCTAAGGTAAACCATTTTTTATTAATCATACATACAAACAGAATACAAGACCTAGTGGTGGCGCAGTCAAGTTAGGAACTTATTTTGACACCACCACAATTTAGCCATATTGTTGTCGTTCTTGCAAATTGTTGTTGTCGGCCTTGTTTAACGTCTAATATCTCGCTAAAGGTGATCTCTTGGTGCAAAGTGCATACATGTGATGTCATGTATATACATGTCATGATATACACTGTTACGCTATGCTAGTATGTTAACCGGTGTGCATAGGCAACAACTCTAATGTTATACTGCAACAAAACAGTTCCACACAGCTTTCTGTAACGTGTCTAGAGTGTCCCTTTGTGGTCACAGTATTTCCCATTGTGGTAAGGCTCTATGTCTATGTCTATGTCTGTGTGAAACTGTAACGTGTACATGATATCCACTGAACCGGGTGCCTTTTTCAAGACTCAAGATGTGTTTATTGCACATTTGTACCGGTCACTGAATTTCCGGCAATTTACACTTCATTCACAAATACACGTTAAAAATTTCATTAAAACGCAATATTACTAGAAATCCTTGAATTGCCTTTGTAACCACCATACTGTAAGGCTGTGTACGTGTGCTTGTGTGAAACTACTAGTATTGATGGTTGTGCCTTTTGCGGAGACGGGGAAGATTCCCTGTTAGAAAACTGACATTATTTTATTTTAGATGGCAGAAAACAAAACAACTTTCGTTACGTTTTGCACCGATGTTTGCAACGTGAACTTGTCCACCCAAACGCAACATTTACACACCTTCTCAGCGCGACTGTTTGATGAAAAATTAGTCGAGGAATCGGAACAGAAGACAGCTCGGAGCCGACCGCTAGCTAGCGGCGGGCAGATCGCGGCTCGTGCGCGCGGCGTTTCGTACCAGTCTACACAGGAATACTTTGGTTTCGGCTTTGGTTTCAGATGGTCTGCTGGCAAATATAATCACCATATTGAGCCGATTTCTCCTTTTTTTTTCTAACTAAAAAAAAGCCTACCGATCCCAATTTAGTTCAGTACTACTAGAAGTAGTAGTGGTCTTCTGGCCTTGCCCTGAGTAAATTTGTTTTTAACTAGAATGCCCGTTACCAGTGAAACACACCAAATGCTGCAGAAACTGGCGCGTGGCAGTTATAGATAATCCTCGCGCATCCTATACAGGCATGGTTCTGGGTACAATACCGGGCGCTGGCCCTCTGACCGGCGGGCGGCCTTTCTGAATGAACGGGCCGCCGAGATTCTCCGTTACATGCCCTCCGCTCCGCTCCGCCTGGCCGGCCGGCAGTTTGTACATTTGTATGCGGGGGGAGTTTTTCCGCCCGCCTGCGGAGAAGTAATTGATTTCTGGAGCCATTAGGCGTTTTAGGAAAATTAGAGCACTGCTCTGGACCAGATAATTCGGCAGATACCGGCGATTTGCGCGGTAATGCGTGATTAGGGCGACGCTTTTGTGTTGATGTGGAGAAACGTGGACTGGCAGTGATGCATGCTCATGGCTGGGAACAGTGGGAACAGACATAACCGCTCTGGAACAATGGGAGGGTCTGTACTGTGGCTCAGGCAGAACAC